CCTTGGCTTATAAACACAATTATTGTGTTACAGGTACTGGTCCACAGCAACGAACGATTGATGTGAATTTTGCATTCACATATGATAAATTTATGGGTGGTTTATTAGACGATAATCAGACCACCTTCAGAACTCACTGAAAACATGTTTATTAACAATAGAGATTCGACGACTTATTATTCCACGCTCGCATAATTAATTGTATCTTGTCTTTCGATATATTATTCTCGGAAATATACAGCTTCGTCAATGTTTGATTTATCTTCAATGCCTCAGCGATCGCCATTGCGCCTTGATCCGATATATTATTCTCAGATATATACAACCTCGTCAATGTTTTATTTCTCTTCAATGCCTCAGCGATCGCCATTGCGCCTTGATTCGATATATTATTCTCAGATATATACAACCTCGTCAATGTTTTATTTATCTTCAATGCTTCAGCGATCTCCATTGCGCCTTGATCCGACATATTATTCTTGTCTATCCCAAGTATCATCAACGTTTTATTTCTCTTCAATGCCTCAGCGATCGCCATTGCGCCTTGATCCGATATATTATTCTTGTCTATCCAAAGCTCCGTCAATGTTTGATTTATCTGCAGTGCTTCAGCGATCTCCATTGCGCCTTGATCCGATATATTATTCTCGGGTATATGCAGCTCCGTCAATGTTTTATTTATCTTCAATGCTTCAGTGATTGCCATTGTGTCTTCTTTCGACGCTAGTTTACCACTAAGATGCAAAACGTCCACCTGCCCTAATTTCAGCTTATCAACAGTTGTTTCAATATCTTTGGATAATGGCTTTTTGTCATCTTTATATGGAGATGTTGTCTTTGTTTCTGGATGTTGCCAGTTGTCTTTGGGTGTGCTATCAATGCTAGTTGTGTTTGCTTGCACTGTAAAAGAAAGTGGCACTTTTGCACTAGTGGTTTATATTTCCTCTAGAGTTAAGTAATGGTTTATTCTAGCTTTCGCTCCTGTTTGTGTATCGAATGAGCTAGAATAATTTCTTG